GTAAGTTATTGCTCTCGAATGCGGTAAAATACTGAAAAAAGTTGCACCAATCAATGAGCGTGACGCAGGCCGGCGGAGGAAACTACGCCCTGCACGATTAGCTACGTGATATAGGTGATCCCAGAACTTTTTCTACTTCCTTCACTATTTATTTATTTACTTTATTCCTTTATTTATTTATTCTATCTTATTAAACTTACGCTGTAAAAGACAGTCGTGAAAAAGGTAAAATAGACTGCAACATCTATTAACAATAGAAGCGAAATAACACTATAAGAAATATCTATACTGTAAGTGTAATTTTAGCTGCAGCACGTCTGAATGAACTCGTAGAACCACTTTTTGAGACATTTTTTGATGAGTTTTGTTTCCTCCTTGTGACGAAGATTGACACCCATAGAATTAGTGAAGATTGATTGCGGATTTCCCATGAGAGATGTGGACATGCAAGATCGAAGCTTACGTCTGGCATTCCAGAACGGTAAGGTTGTTACGGGCGATTATGAGTAAACCAATCATTACCTATTTCTATTTTCGGACGCAATTCACGGCGATCTCAACTGCTGCATGCGTCTTTGACTGCTGCTGTTCGCCACAGTTCGAAAGTTTATAATCACCTTATTGTTTCTGATTCCTTGATCTCTTGGACGAAAGGGGCCTAGGAACGTAGAACTCATAATATTCACAATAGGCGCATCCCGGTTGCGGAGGCTGCTCTTTAAAGGAATCTTGCGCGGAAAAATCATGATTCTATTTCAGCCATAAATCACTGGCTTGAGACTCATTATCCACGATAATAGTGAAAAGAACTGAAGTATTGCTTTCGTTTTGATTAGAAATTCGAAAACTCGAAAAGGCTGCTACGCGTTCGAATTGCCCACGGACGTCTTTCACGAATGCTGGCGACGGGGATGCTCAAACTTGGTTCTTGGAGTGCATTCACTAGAAGCTCTTTCTGGCCTTCTGCTTCGTTGCATTCACATCTTACACTTCTACTCCATCCTATTCCATCGATCGATTTGTCTCCACTCTCCGAAATCGCGCGCTTTAACCCGATTCTCTCATTGCGTCGCCTGGTACGTAGCCGGCCAAACGCCGTCTTCTTTCCATGCCTCGCCTGGCTCTGCCTCCTGGTCCTTCGATGGTCCATAACGTGTAGTTTTTGTACGTTTGTTTCTCTTCAGAAACCGAATCTTCATGCGTGAAACTTTGTGTGCTATTTCCAGTGATCACAACTGACATATTCATGTTAGGAAAGAGTGCAAGAATTTTCCGCGCAAGATTCCTTTAAAGATATGAAATGTGGACCAAGCATTTCGGTAAAGAAATCTTGCGTGAAAATTCTTCGCAACTCTTTTTCAACAGGAAATAGTATCAGCTGTGAGCACTGAAATAGCACACATAATTATCACGCATGTGGAAGATTCGGTTTTCGAAGAAAAACAGACTTAAAAGCTGCACTATAGATAGACGAAGGTAAAAGGCGTAGAGCCAAAGGCGGCACGGAAAGAAGTCCGCCTTGGGGCGGCTACGTATCAGGCGACGCAATGAAAGAATCGGGTTAAAGCGTGCTTTTGAGAGTAGAGACAATCGATCGATAGGATGGGATACAGTAGAAGCGTGAGGTGTTATTCAATAAGTCAAAAAGAAGCCAGAATTAGTTTCTAGTGAACGCACTTCCAGAACTTAGTTAGAACCCAGCGATCACGTTTTTGTTCGCTTTCCGTGGGCTTGAAAAGTAGTGATAAACATGTTCATGAGACAGGTTATAAAGAGTTTCAAGTAACTTTCACGCAGGAACATGTGCTCATTCGTTCTCTTGGTTTTGCTTATATAGCATCCCTCGTGGCGTCATTAGGAACAAGTACTAAAGCTCGATCCCTCAGTGTTAGAAGATAGCGTAATGACTTCTTCATGGTTCATAGAATACTTCATGGTCTGGTTGATCTGAATATACACGATTTTTTTTCACCTGATTTCGTCTTTTACTAGAGGCCAAAAGCTCAAACTTTGCGCGCTTCAGCATCTAAGTCTGTTTTGCGGCGCAGCTTCTTCACTTCCAGGGCTGATTTTGAATACACAAGATTAAGTAAAAAAAAATGCAGGTTCCATGATTAAGGCTCTAAAAAACATGTGTATCGTAATCTTAGCCGAGACAATTCTTGCCAGTGATCTACTGTTGTTTTGCCCGTTTTAAAACCTATTCTCACTCTATGTCCTTCTTTTACCATTCCCCAGTTGCCGTTTCTAGTTGATACTTATATGTTTTTTAACTACAGTGGATTTTACTGTAGCCTTTACTTTCTCTTTTCCCATGACATATGTTTGCGCATGTGATAACAAAAAATTGGTGCAACCTTCAAGCCGGAGTAAGAACATGTACGTTTGGTCCGACGAGCGCTTGGGGGGCAGGAAAATATCCGGTCGAGGTAAATCCTCACAGGGGGGTCGTATCTGCAGCGTGGTCATTGGGTGGTCGTACTCGGGGTTCAGTAACGTCAGTATCCATCGTGTGATCAGGGCCGTAAGGTATGCTTCCCCGAATGGTTGCGGGGACGAAAGTCCCTTTAAATTTTTTGTTTTGAACGATACTGTTTCTTTATTTTCAATGCATGCTTACTTTAAGCTACACACATATATTAGATGTAGGCCCTTTATCAGGACAATCCCAGTTGGGACTACAGAGAAAATTTAAAGGAACTTTCGTCCCTAAACCCTTCGGGGAAGCATACCTTACGGCCCCTGATAAAGAGGGGGTGTAGCGCAGCAGGAAACTAGGATATGTGAGAAAACATGATATAAAATATTCCTTGCAGGCTCGTTTGCTCCGTCCCTCTACGTTCGAGAAGGAAGTATTAAGAGTACTAGAAAGAAAAGTATTCCTCTGTCAGCCGCGCCGCCCTCGTCCTCAATACCTCATTGAGTATGACGCTTGTTAGGTACGCTGTCGCAGAAACGACAAGTTTTGGAAAGATCCTGGGCAAATCAAGCTGCTCCTCAGGTTGCAGGGGTTCCGAAATGTGTTTACTTCTATGCGGTTTCTGTCAGCAGGTCATCATCACATGTATAACGCTTTTCCCAATAAATTTCAACAACTCGAGTGGAGTCAGGATGTCTTAATTTTATACACTGAGACCAGGATCGACGATGAACGATTGCCCCTCTTGCCACTTACGCAGGGAGAATTTACTCTAGACACATTTCGAGAGTTGCCAACGAATTGACTTGCAATAGTGAAGAAGGGAGCGGCGTTTTAGGTGGCCGAGATCCTCCACGCATAATACCCTCACCGCAAAATGAAGAAGAAAGCCCTAACAGAAGTAAAAAGCGCAAACCCTCCCTTTTCACAAAGCCGTTTTTTTCGTTCTCACGAGTTGCTTAACATTAGGGAGATATGGCCTTTCCCGTTAAAGCCCAAAAAAACTCGCATAAAAAATTCACCATCCTCGACGCTCCCTCGACAAAATTTGAGAGACCCTATCTCTTCGAGTGTAAAGCTTTTTTTTAGATCAATTTCAATATTGCCCGGTAGTAGCAAATCCAGCTCTATCTAACCCTACCACATACTGCTCCAAAGGTTATGAAATGGGGGAATGGAACCTTTTCATCGAGTGTAGATTTCGACGGTTTCGAGCGGGGTTTCGGCAAATCTGACCCACGGATAAACCGCGCTGCAACTGAATGCTTTGCTGTACATTGATGGAACTCGCTTATTCACATCAAATCAAAGTTAGAGGGGTCGTATCAAGACCCCGATCTGAGGGGGGTCGTACTGATGTGACCACGTCCTCGACACGATTTTCACCCTGCTTGGGGGTGGGAAGAACGGTTGCGCAGCCTCGAAATGTTGTCCAACATGATGTTCGCTATAGAATACCCTAAAAAAGCAACAGTACCTATGGGCACTTCCGAAAAACCACTCGCTCCTTAGAAAGTTAGACTTTTGCAAGGCACGTTCCAAGTTTTATTTCTGCACTTCATGAATGAAAACACTTCACAAATTTGTAAAACCCAACAAGGTTACAGAAAGATTATTGCAAATTTGTAAAGGTATTTTTACAACATCTTAACAAAGTTTTAGCATAAACAAAAAATCCAATACGGTAAGTTAGATAAGTGCGCAATGAAATTTGAAAACAAATTAGCTCCAGTGCTAAACATTAGGAAGATGTCTACTGTAGCCTTTATTAGATGTTCAATGAACAGTTCTAAAGGAAGATAACTCATTTTTAACTACGAATCAGAACATGACATCTAAATGCAACAGAAAAATGAACACTATAAAACACGACTTGGCTGGAAAATATTACATTGGCAAAGATTAGGTTGAAGACCAAGTCCGGGATTTCTGTTCGAAACTAAGCCATCTCCCGAAGAAAAAGCAGTGAAGCGCAAGCGGGAAGCATGTACACAAATGCTGGGATAATTTGGCAAGCCCAATGCTGAGGCCCAAGTATGCCGCGCTGGCCCCGCCCAACACCACTAACCCCACCCACAAATCAATGCTATTTCGCTTCGCCGCTACTGGAGAGAGGGTTTTATTTTCGCCCTTTCGACAGTTTCTTCCCGTTTTTCATTACTGACGTTACACTTCACATCTCCACTGTCACTTGCGAGCGCAATAACACATCAGTTTAATCCCGGACTTTGCCTTCAAGACGTTACTCAGATGATGAGATCGGACCAGTTGTACGTCTGTGTCATGCTCTATCTAAACAGTTAACCGGTACTATGTGACGATTAACAAGGTTATAGCAAACAACAATATCCACTGGAGTGAAAAACTTGTAGAAAACTGTAATTTCGCGCGTAAGTGCAAGCTACACTCCGAATTCTTCATAAAGAGATGATACAAAACTACCTTATAGCAGCACAATAGAATTCTGAACAGAATTATTAGTAATGATTATAACCTCCTTTGTTCAATTGTGGTATAAACTGTCAACATTTTTCACGTTAGAAAATAATGATTAGCACCAACTCAACAACAAACCGATTTCCTAGGATTTTCTTTTCACGACACGAGGCTGGAGATTAGCGGTGGTCTTTGCAACTGGAGAGTACATAGTCGGCTGCTTGCGCTCTCGCATTTGCCGTTCTGACTGAGGGGTGGATGAACTGCTGGTGCGACCATGTGATCTATGACAACCAAATTGGTTGATTAATGGATGAAAGTGGACTTAAGAACCGAGTGGGTAATATTGTAACCTTGTTGTGCGAGCCACCGGCCCTTCTGATTTCTCCTCAGCTTCTTCATGAGGCGGTGAAACGGAAGCACGTCGGAATGTTTCAGGGCCATCTGCTGCTTCACCACCACTTTGACGGCTCGACTAAAATACTTTGAAAATTTTAGCAGGCATATAAATCTTTTCAAAAACCCACAGAAACATCCACAGCCAGCCATTGAAAGGTAAAACTGAACAACGAGATTTCTTTTCGTTAACGTAGCCGAAGTTCAAAATTTCAAAGACAAACAAACGCAAAATAAGTCCGCGTGGTATTTTTCAAGCTCCCACCATTTAACACGTCCCCTTTTTCTTTCTGTAGAATCGACGCTTTGCTCTCTCTTTCCCTCTATCAAGACAACTCCTGTTCCTTTTTATGGCCCATATACTGCGCAATACTTTCGCACATATAAATGTAGAGAAACGTTAACATGTACTTGAATTTCAAAAGTTCTGTTCGTGGGATTTTGAAAGCTTGTGATTTATTAAAGCTATGAACTTTGCTGAACGGCTAGAGACCTGCGGCGAGTGGTTAGCCAGTCGATGGGCGTACCTTGTCGAAAGCACCGCATTCGTGGATCATGCTTAATCCCCGCTAGGTGAATTTTCCCCTTTCTCACCTTAAAGGAGGAATTCACGATTAGAATGAAGGTCGAAGAAAGGGAAACTGACCTAGTTGAGGGACCCACGGACCTCCTGAGGGTGCGAACTGACGCGCAATTCGCATGGAAAAATTTGACCTCGGCGACCTATCATGCCTCAAAGCTGGC